AAACACAGAATCCTCGAATCCCTCGCTATCCCAATAGACTCACCAAACCACCCTATACACGTAGCCGCAGTTTACAGACCACCATCAAGATGTCAAAGGCCATTCCACAACCACTACTGGACTGCCATACTAAATTCCATCCCGAATCTCACGCATACCATCATAGGCGGTGACTTCAACTGCCACAACCCAGCCTGGGGCAGCTCACAATCATGTCCCATCGGGGACTGTACTCTTTCTACTTTTAGCAACAACAACCTAGTATTCCTCAATGATGGGTCCCCAACCTATAGAAGTCGCTCAAACCCCCTCTACACATCATGTATAGATCTTACTTTTGTATCCCCCAGCTCTGCGAACTCCGCGAGCAACTTGCTAATTCCGACTCGAAAAAAATACCCAAAACTGTGGAATCGTTAGCAACGTTTGCAATTGCTTTGTAAAAAACTGTCGGATTAAGCAGTTTTGCAAAAAAAAATAAATTTGATACCATCGTGCGAGAGACATAAAAAGTATCTCCTCCACCCTTTGCAGTGTGTCTATACTATCAAAATTGATATCGATAGTTTGAAATTTAATTGTCGTTTATGTTGAACAGTTGCAAATTGTCTTATTTTTATGTATAGTAGGTAAAATAATTATTTTTGTCAAATGTGTAATGTGCGATTTTTTCTCAATACAATAATACATTATACATATAGCTGCGCATGCGCCGTGTATACAGTTTCAGGGTTCCATTAGTATGGTCCTTGGTCCAGCCCAACACATCTGGTATGTATAGGTCTACTCGTTTTCTGTGTTTCTGCTAGCAGAGTAGCAGCAGATAAAATTATAAATATAAAATTATTCCATCAAGAGTGAACTATCATTTACCTGTCACACTTGCTCTAGTATGTGCAAACAAGTATCTATCAATGAATCTTTTCCAAATGACACTGGATGTTAAAATAAAAATAACAAAGAAATTTTTTATAAGTACTGAAATTTAAAATGGTAAAAATGATAATCACCTTTCAAGTGAAATGGCAGGCCTCATATCTCATCTACATCTGTGATCATGCAGAAATCTTGAATAACTCTATCTAGCTTATTTACTATAATCAAATACTGTGATTGAAAAGTCCTTACTGCCAAAAACCAAGATACATTTTCTTCGATGGACTTCGAAGGAGCTCATGTTATGTTCTGATCACCAAGAACTTTAGAGTAGATTCATCCTACATCCTGTCAATGTCAAGGACTTTGATAAAAAGCATCAACAGACACAGTAGCTATCAACTGAGCATCGACAGAGAAGGCACCAGTTCTGCAATTTCCCATTGAAAAAAGTAAAACATAGACAGTCTCAGACTACTGGTTCTAGTGTCTGAATGTTTGTTTTTGTTTTAAACTTGAAATCCAATTCTTGTTTATTTTGATGAAATAAATACACCATAGGCAATGAAAAATGTAATGTAAAACATATCCAAACATAAAATTTAGATTGATTATTGTAAATACTACTTCAAGGCTATTAACTGGTATTATGTCTTTTAAAGTGCCACTTTTCCAAAGTTGAAACAAAGGTGAAATCAAAAAACCCAGTTGAGGCTACGTATATAAAGTCGTGGCTACATCTGTCGATCTGTCTGTCTGCTACTCTGCTAGCAGAAACACAGAAAACGAGTAGACCTATGTATACCAGATGTGTTGGGCTGGACCAAGGACCAAGGACCATACTAATGGAAATATGAAACTGTTTACACGGCGCATGCGCAGCAATATGTATTATGTTTTATTGTGTTGAGAAAAAATCGCACATTCCACATTTGACAAAAATAATTATTTTACCTGCTATACAGAAAAATATGACAATTTGCAACTGTTCAACACAAACGACAATTAAATTGCAAACGATCGATATCAATTGTGATAGTATAGACACACTGCAAAGGGTGGAGGAGATACTTTTTATGTCTCTCGTACGACGGTATCAAATTTATTTTTTTTTGCAAAACTGCTTAATCCGACAGTTTTGGGTATTTTTTTCGAGTCGAAATTAGCAAGTTGCTCGCGGAGTTCGCAGAGCTGTTTCCCCCCCCTGCTTCTCACCATTAGCAACTGGCACGTAACAAGTGATAACTACATGAGCGATCACTACCCTATCTTTACCACCCTCGGCATTTCATTCACTTCCTCTCCCCGAAACTCCCACAGATTTAACTTTTGAAGAGCCAGCGCCGAAGATTGGTCCCTGTTCAAATCCACCCTTGCATCATTCAGTTTCACGGAAGCCCCATCTCAATCCACCAATGCCAAATATAACTTCCTCACCTCCAAAATCCTCAAAGCAGCCTCTCTCATAGCCACCAACCCATCACCTTCTCCTAACCGTCCCCATCGAAACAAACCTAGTCACCCCCCTGGTGGAACTCCGACTGTGCCAAAGCTGACAAAGCTCGCAAAATTGCACTTAGAAATTTTAGACGTAACTCCATCCTCTATGACTCCCTTGTTGAAGCAGAAAACTTCGCCAAAAAAACATTCAAAAAACAAAAGTCAGAATCCTTCAAGGAATTCTGCGAAAATCTCTCCCCATCCTCTCCCCCCTCCCTAATTTGGAACATCGTCAAAAAATTTCGCCACAAAGCTCTCTCAGACTCATGCTCTCCTAGCAATCTAAAGAACGTGGACTCCATGAGAAATCTTATTAATACGTTATACCCCAGCTCATGCCTCTTTCCTAACTTCCCCACATCATTCTCAGCCACACAGGATACTATAAACTTCTTTTTCAAACCCTTCACCGAATCCGAATTAAATTTTGCCATCAAAAAACCCCGCACCAAAATAAACTCAGCCTCAGGCCTCGACCGCATAGATAATATTATTATAAATGAATTACCTCATAACATCCGAACATCCCTCCTAGAAATTTTTAACGAAATCTTTTCACAGGGCACTTTTCCAGACTCCTGGAAAGAATACCTCACATTCTTCATCCCAAAAGGTCTCTCCGACAAGTACAGACCCATCTCCCTAGCACAGTCCCCTCTGAAACTCCTGGAAAGACTCATCCACAACAAGCTGTCCTAGTGGATAGAACACCATCACCTCTTGCCATCTCACCAATTCGGATTCCGCAAAGGCAAATCTTGCCTAGATAACCTTTCCATTCTCACTTCGTCCATCTACTCAAGCTTCGCCCAGAAAGGCTACACCGCAGCCCTCTTCCTCGATGTAAAAAGTGCCTTTGACTGCATAGACCCCATTTCCCTAATCCAAAATCTAAAGAACCTTGGGCTTGCTGAAAATATTTGCCGTTTCTTCTATAATCTTACCTCATCAAGAAAAATCTCCTTCAAAGTGAACGGTGAGCTGCTAGGCCCCTATTCTTCCTACCAAGGTCTTCCCCAGGACTGCATCTCCAGCTCTGCACTCTATACCCTCGGCACAAAAGACATTGCTAAATACCTAGACCCCACGTGCAAATGCATCAGCTTTGCAGACGACATAGTCATCTTCGCCTCCTCAGACGACCCAGAATTTAGCTTAGCCATTATAGAATCCAACACCCCCAAGACTATCTCATACCTCAACAAACAAGGCCTCTCCATCGCCCTCCCCAAATCTAAATTAGTCATCTTCACTGAAAACGCAATAGACACATCCCAGTACTCCTTAAACCTCGAAGGCACCCTTATCCCAGTCTCAAACTCAGCTAAATTCCTTGGCATACAATTGGACAGCACGTTATCATGGTCCGAACAATTAAACCACCTTTCTCTCAAGAGTGCCACCACCGTTAATCTCATCCGCTCCCTCCGCACAACTTGGTGGGGCGCCCATCCATCAACCCTCCTCAATATACACAACGCCCTACTACAAGGCTCCATTGATTATGCCCTACCCTGCATCCTTCCCCGCAACAGCACCTTCATGCACAAACTCGGTGTCATTCAAAGACAGTCTATTAGAGCAGCCCTCGGTCTCCGCAACTCAACTCCCAACAGAGTAGTATATGCCGAATCGAAAATCCTACCATTTTCACTCAGGCAAGAAAAATTAGCAATGAACTACATCTCTACAAGCCTCTCCTTCACCAATCATCCCGCCATCCATTCGATCCAACATTTCTCCCAAAACACTTCAACTCCTGAAAGTTCCAGATTCCTCTCTCACCCCCTTGTCATAGCACTCTTTAAGCTTTCACCCAGTCAAAATAACATTTTCTCCAGTTCAGTACCTCCTTGCTTTTTCTTTTCCATGGACAGCCAACAACTTAACCCAAACATCATGCTTTCAACAGGAGCCACTCTCACCACTGCCCAAGATCCAAAAACTGAATTCTTAGACCTTTTCAGTTCTCAGCTATCTACTCACACACCTTTCTTTACAGTCGGCTCCAAAACAGACCAGAACACTTACACTGGTCTTGCTTTCTACTGCCCCTGTCCCAATGGCCACACCTTCAAAGTTCGCATCTCCCCCCATGCATCCATCTTCATCGCAGAAGCCCTAGCCTGCCATCTACCGCACCCTAGAATAGCACCCTTCTGAAATCCCTTTCCAAATTCAAACTCTTCCCCCCATTCACGATCAACTCTTTTCTCACCTCCCCCTCAGTCAAACTCATAAAAATCCTACATAACTTTTTACGTGACTGCGAAATTTTTCTCTAATTTTCTAAAAACATTCTCACCTACTAGAAACCATCACCATCCTATCGTATTACTTTTAACTACCCTATAATTCTTCACGTTTACACTTCTACCCCCCCCCCCCCCAATGTATTTACTCATTTGAGATGTTCAGAGCACTCCGGGCGGCCCGCGTACCGCTGGGGCGCGTATCTGCACTTGCGGCTTGCGGCCAAAAATGTAGGTGCGGTCGTGCGCCTTGGTAGCCCGGGGTTGCTTGGGATGCTCTGAACTTCTTAATCGAACAAACCTAATAATTTAAAATTCTTTCACCATACCGCACTTCACCGAGCAAGCAGACGATAATAAGTTTTGTTAATGGCCGTTCGGACCATACGCTACTAACACAAAAGTAGGCTATAGCCTCGCTGGAGCCACAAACCCCCCCCCCCCTCCCAAGAAGAAGAAAAAGAAGAACTCGAAAAATGGCAGAAGAACAGAGGAAGCGAGTTGAAGATCAAACAACACAAACTATAGAAGATATAGACAAAACTTTTCTTCGAAAAATGCAGGTAAAAAAGCGTGTTAAAAATGAGTTGGCATAAAGATCTCTGCATCAAGTGCGTGTCAGTCAATATATGTTACATGTTCTAGTGTGTACATACTTTTTTCTTCGATTAATTTCTGGCACACTTAATAATATATATATTTCATGACTAGCTCACAGAAATTATTCCTCTTTACTTGTAAATTACGTATACTCATAATAATAAATAAAAAGTTATTGTGATTATGTTTTCTTACAGGGTGACATGCACAGATGTGCAGCAGCTTGCTGTGACAATGAAAACTTTAGTGTTCAAAGAATTCACAGTTGCATTCACAGTTGTAGCATACATTTGAACGAAGCAAATCAATACATTCAAAATGAATTTGAAAGATCAAAGGTTAGTGGCAATCATTTAAATGACATTATATAATAATTTTAACTACTGCAAGAATTATTGCGGTTTACGATGTGATCACCCGATTAATGGCTTAAAAAATGTTTAAGGGTGTAGTCCCATGGCACGAAATAGAGCTCCGCAATGGACTGTCTGCAATAGAAACAGCCAATCAGGCTGCAGTCATATGGAGCGCAATAGAGCGAGCAGGATAGGAATTTCTCCATAAGCGACTGTGTTAAGTCTATTGCGCCGCGCAATAGGGCTATCCTGCAGCGCAATAGACTTAACACAGCCGCTTATAGAGAAATTCCTATCCTGCTCGCTCTATTGCGCTCCATGTGACTGCAGCCTCAGAGCTATTGTGAATGCTTCTGTTTCGAAGAGGCAAAGTTCACTATGGTCCCATGTGCAGGAAAGACACCTGGGAGCCAGCCCGCTAATTATCGATTTGTGCAAAAAAAAAAAAAAAAAAATACTAGGCGTCGTGTTTTTATCTGCACATTTCGTTTATGCAAATAATTAGAACTTCACATGCCTCACTTTTGCATAAAAAATTAAAGAAATTAGTCGATTCGCAGGCCGTTGTTGGATCGCCATATCTCTCTTATTAGAGCGTATTTCCAACTGCACAGGGGCTTAAAAAACTGCACATAGTCTAAACTTAATTGCACAGTCAAAATCTCTATCTGCGCACTCTTGATTAATTAATAAATAAATAAAATCTCTTTACAACCTAGTAAGTAAACACATACCGCGCGCATGCGCTATGTGTAACTACACTAGCTGCATATCACCCGTAGGCGTTATAAAGAGATTTTATTTATTTATTATTTAATCAAGAGTGTGCAGATAGAAATTTTGACTGTGCAATTAAGTTTAGACAATGTGCAGTTTTTAAGCCCCTGTGCAGTTGGAAATACGCTTTAATAAGAGAGATATCGCGATCCAACTACCTCAGTTAGAAATTTATAGCTATAATTATACCCATAAATTATAGCTATAATTATAGCTATAACTACCTCTTAAACAGCTACAATAATGTATAAAATTCAGCTATAAATTTAGCTATAAATTACAGCTGTAATCTTTTCACAAATTTTAAATAAAAATTAGTTTAAAATCAGATTTTTTCAACATATATCGATCAGTATAGACGGTATCATCCGTGTGATAACAGTAAAACTGAGGGCCTAAAGTATTTTTAAACAATTTTTAAAAAACTTGAAATTGCATTTGATTTCTTGTTTTTTTTTTCTACTTATTCAAAAATACTTTAGGCCCCCAGTTTTACTGTTGTCATACGCATGATATTATCTGTACTGATCGATATATGTTGAAAAAATCTGTGTTTAATCTAACTTTTATTCATTATTTGTGAAAAATTTACAGCTGTAGTTTACAGCTATATTTATAGCTGAATTTTATACATTATTATAGCTGTCTTATAGGTAGATATAGCTATAATTATAGCTATAAATTATAGGCATATTAATAGCTATAAATTTTTGACTGAGACGGCCTGCGAATCGACTAACTTCTTTAATTTTTTATACAAAAGTGAGGCATGTGCAGTTTTAATTATTCGCATAAACAAAATGTGCAGATAAAAACACGTCGCCTAGTATTTTTTTTTTTTTGCACAAATCGATAATTTGCGAGCTGGCTTCCAGGAGGTAGGAAAGACCGATGCGTAACCTATGTAGGCCCGCGAGTGCGAGTGAGAGGTTCGAAGTATCTCTTTCTCACTCGCACTCACGAGCGTAAATGAGTTACGCATCGGTCGTTCCTGCACATGTGACCATAGCGAACTTTGTCTCTCCGAAACAGAATAACATAACCAGCTGATCAACGGTGATTGTTTGTTTTTGTTGGTATGTTTTGGAGCTCAGTGTGAAATGTCTGATACAAAAATTAGTATCCTACAGAAGACCATACTAACTTTGGCAACCATTTATGTAAAAAAACCCATTTCCTTTCAAAAAATAAAAATCCGTCAAAACATACTGAAGCTGGTTTTAATATATAACTTTTGGTTTGGTTCCGTTCTCTTAGCAAAGTAATACCTTACATAACCTCAAAGCTTTCTGACAGTTACATTCCAAAATATAAAAACGTTCGCAACCCGCAACAGCTCGATCATCCGCAATAGAAACAGCCAATCAGAGCGGGGACAGTCTATTGCGGAGCTCTATTTCGTACCATGGGACTGCACCCAAAGTAAAGAGAGATTGCATCAGCATTCCAGTATTCCACGCTAGTCTTGAGGTGAGGAAATATTTTCATACATAGTGCCTATTCGCACCAGTGAGCCAAAAACTAGGCTCTGTTCGGAAATGATGGGTTGGTCAAGTATTCAGTTGGTACCTACCCCCACCCTGGCTTAACTAACCGACCGTGTGTTCGCGCATGTAAACAATAGTTAATCAGCTGATCACGTTTTGGCAAACTTAAAGCGCTTTTTGTGGTTAAAGAGAGGACTTAAAAGCGCTCAAAGTGCGCCAAAACGTGATCAGCTGATAATCTATTGTTTACATGTGTAAACACACGGTCGGTTAGTTAAGTCGGGGTGGGGGTAGGTACCAACTTAATACTTAACCAACCCATCATTTCCGAAGAGAGCCCTAGTACCAAGCGGAAGCGCAAAATTCAAACAGGCTGTAGGCCCAATTCCACAAAAACCCAAGGACTATAACCCAGTACTTGCGTAGATCAATCCTCAGTAACTTAATGCGCTTAACTACGGACAATTGATTATTAAATAGTTAATACCCCAAGCAGATAACCCCAAACAACCCAATACGCTCTACTGTCTGCACTGATATTGAGTGATTAAATTAATTCATACCCTTAATCAATTATGATTAAATAACATCCCAAGCGCTTAATCCCCAGATACCCAATAGGCTCTAATGTCTGCACCATTTAATCGGTAATTAATTGATAAATTATTTTACAGTGATCCTAGACTGAATAGTTTATTTATGATTAAATAAATAAATAATTAAATGAAAAAATGAAATCCCAAGCGCGTAAAACCCAAAAACCCAATAAGCTTCACTGTCTGTACCACTTATTCGGTAATTAATTGGTAAATTAATTGATAATGAGCCTATAAACGACCGCTTATTGTTAGAATAAATAAATAAACAAATTCCCAGGGCTGAATCCCAAGACACCTAATGGGCTCTACTGTCTGTACCGTTTAATCGGTAATTAATTGATAAATTATTTGACAGTGAGCTTAGACTTAATAGTTTATTGATAAATAAATAAATGAATAAAATCACAAGGGCTTAATTTCCAGATATCAAATAGGCCTTACTGTCTGTGCTGTTTAATCGGTAATTAATTAATAAATTATTTGACAGGGAGCCTAGACTAAATAGTTTATTTATAAATAAATAAATAAATAAAATTCCAAGTGCGTAATCCCCAGAAACCCAATAGGCTCTACTGTCTGTACCGTTTATTCGGTAATTAATTGATAAATTAATTAACAGAGAGCCTGTGAAAGACCGCCTATTATTTAAATAGATAAATAAAATCCGAAGCACATAATTCTTGGAAACCCAACAGGCTCTACTGACTGTACTGTTTATTCAGTCATTAATTAATGAATAATTAACAGTGAGCCTGTGAAAGGCCGCTAATTATTTAAATAAATAAATAAATGAAATCCCAAATGCTTAATCCCCAGACACTCTATAGACTCTACTGTCTGCATCGTTTATTCCGTAATTAATTGATAAATTTATTGACCGTGAGCCTGTCAAAGACCGCTTATTACTTAAAAAAAAAAATAAATAAAATCTTAAGCGCTTAATGCCCAAAAACTCAACAGGCTCTACTGTCTGCACCGTTTATTCGGCAATGAATTAATGAATTAATTGACAGTGGGCCAGTTAAAGACCGCTTATTATTAAAATATATAAATAAATCAAATCCTAAGCGCTCAATCCCCAGATACCAAATGTGAACTACTGACTGTACCGTTTATTTAGTAATTAATTCATGAATTATTTAACAGTGAGCCCGTGCAAGGGTATAAATAATTATTTATATTAATGATAAACGGTATTGCACAGGCTCACTGTTAATTGATTTATTTATTAATTACTGATTAAACGGTACAGTTCGTAAAGCCTGTTGGGTTTCTCGGGATTGAGCACTTGGGATTTTATACTTTTATTTATTTAAGTAATAAGCTGTCTTTCACAGGCTCACTGTCAATTAATTTATCAATTAATTGCAGCTTAAACGGTACAGATAGTAGAGCCTATTGGTATTCTGGAAATAACGAACTTAGATTTTATTTATTTATTCATTTATAAATAAACTATTCAGTCCAAACTCACTGTCAAATAATGTATGAATAAATTACCGATTAAACGGTCCAGACAGTAGAGCCTATTACATATCTGGGAATTACGCGCTTGTGATTTTATTCAATTATTTATTTATTCATTCATTTATAAATGAACTATTCAGTCTAAGCTCACTCTCAAATAATGTATCAATTAATTACCGAATATACGGTGGAGACAAAGCCTATTGGGTTTCTGGAAATTAGGCGTTTGGGATCTTATTCATTTATTTGTTCAAATAATAAGTGGTCTTTTACAGGCCTTCTGTTAATTAATTTATTAATTAATTACTGAATAAACGCTGCAGACAGTAGAGCCTATTGGGTTTCTTGTGATTAAGCGCTTGGGATTTGATTGATTTATTTATTTAAATAATAACCGGTCTTTTACAGGCTCACTGCCAATTAATTTATCAATTAATTTCCGAATAAACGGTACATACAGTAGAGCCTATTAGGTTTTTGGGGATGAAGCGCTTGGGATTTTATTTAATTATTTATGTACATAATAAGTGGACTTTCGTAGGCTCAGTGTAAATTAATTTATCAATTAATGGCTGAATAAACGGTACAGACAGTAGAGCTTATTGGGTTTCTGGGGATTAATCGCTTAGAATTTTATTTTTGTATTTATTTGTTTATTTAAAAGTAAACTATAGGCCCACTGTCAATTATTTTATCAATTGATCACCGAATAAATGGTACAGATAGTAGAGTCTCTTGGGTTTCTGGGGATGAAGCGCTTGGGATCTTAGTTATTTATTTATTTATTTTAAAATAAACTATAGGCTAACTGTCAATTATTTTATTAATCAATCACTGAATTAACGGTACAGACAGTAGAGCCTATCGGGTTTCTGGGGACTATGCGCTTGGTATTTTATCTATTTATTTATTTACTTATAAATAAACTGTTTAGTCCAGGCTCATTGTCAATTAAATCTTTAAGTAATTACCGATTAAACGTTACAGACAGTAGAGCTTATTGGGTATCTGGGGATTAAGCGCTTGGGATTTTATTTATTTATAAGTGATTAAGGGTATGAATTAAATTAATCTCTGAAGATCAGTGCAGACAGTAGCGCGTATTGGGTTGTTTGGGGTCAGCTGCTTGTGGTATTAAATATTTATGAATTTATTGTCAGTAGTAAAGCGTATTTAGGTACTGCGAATTGATCCACGCACGTACTGGGTTATTGGGTAATTGTATTTAGGTTGTTGTGGATTTGGGCGCATAGCGTGTTTGAATTTCGCGCCTAAGTTTGGTACTACTTTTGGGCTCACTGATCCGGTACTTCGGCACTTAAAGGGTCCAAGTTAATTTTTTTTCCGATCAGGCAAAGTGAGCCAGGCGCATGCGTATACGTGTATATAATGGGTGTTTTCCGCAATCGTCACCAGCAAGTAATTTAAGGTTGCGTTCTACGTTACCGTCAGGTCAGTAAGTCAACTACCTTGAATTAAACTGGCGCTCTATTCCGTAATCTGGCCAGTGAAGATAGCAGACGACGTGAAAGTCGAGGAAAAAGTGAAGATTTCATCGCTGCTGACTGTCGTCTGCTATTTTAACTGGCCAGATTACGGAACAGAGCGCCAGTTAATTCAAGGTAGTTGACTTACCGACCTGATGGTAACGTAGAGCGCAACCTTAAATTACTTGCTAGTGACGATTGCGGAAAACACCCAAGGTGTGAATAGACATAGCGATTTTTACATTTCACTAGCATACTCAGATAGTTAGCGAAGTTAAGAATGTATTAGATTTCACGTGAATAAACGGCCGAAGCGAAGCTGAGAGGACGTGGTTAACGTGAAATCCAATGCATTTCTTCTCTTTCCGAATGTGGTTCGCATTCTATTTTTTACTGATCTTGCACTGAGAGAAGGAATTTTAATACCGCTTTGCGGGACGAAAGTTCCTACTTTCGGGGCAGTATGATGAAAAAAAAAAAATTTAATTTTCGAACGCAGTGTTGCGTAGCTGGACCTTACACTATATACTTGTATGTATATTTACATGTATAGTGGCTTCGATAGCATGGTGACTCTTATAGCTCGGGAGCTGAGTAACACAAGCTTCCGAGTTCGAGACCTGATCTTTACACGCTTGGCTTGCACCTTGCAGAAAACAAATTGCCCATGTGCGTATTTCCAACTGTGGTCCGATGGTTCAGAATAAGCCATGAAAAATAGGGCCCGTTATAAGGAAAAAACATAAGACGTATGGAATAGACATAGGGAGAACAAGCCTAGACACAACGGGCTTCTCACGCGTAGAACAAGTCGTGTATTACGCACTTCGAAATGTTGTTTGCTTACAACAAGCCCAAAGTCCCCATTGCTGTGTAAGCGATTGATCACATTAAATCTGAGGCGGTTTTTTATATGCCAATGACGATAGCATGTACATGCAGAGTAATACATCAATACAGACGAGCCTATTCGCTCCGAGCCGATACAGAGGTTGCGCCCCCTCTAGCCAAAATCAGGCAACATTTCTTGCATGTAAACAAACGGTTTAGAACATATATACATGCGTACAGCTGCTTGTGATTGGCTCTTGGCAAGCTAGAGAGAGAACGACGATCCTCTCCTGCTGTCTTATTCAGCCAATCACAAGCAGCTGTACGTATGTATATATGTTCTAAACCGTTTGTTTACATGCAAGAAATGTTGCGTGATTTTGGCTAGAGGGGGCGCAACCTCTGCATCGGCTCGGAGCGAATTGGGCATAGTTCCCAGAAATGGCTGTAAAATATAAAAATAAAAAAATTTATGCACATGTAAAAGTATATACATTCATATTGCTATTCGTCATGGGACGCGACTACCAGCGTTGAAGAGTCCTAACAAAAGTAAATGAAGTGGCTAAAATCGAAACTAAAACCTCGACCATTTAACGTGTTAAGGGGGTAGTGTCACAATATATAGTCAATGCGTGCTCCGAAATACATTATGCGTTCTGAAACAGACAAGTGACAATAAATATGGCAACGCCGCATGAGGCAAAAACCCTCTGTATATCTATATATACGTATAAGTATAGATACATTCGGAGGTTATATTGTACGTAAACATTGAGTTGGTGGTGAAATATCCGTAAAAAATATCTGAACGTTTTCGTTTACCAAATGGGAGACTTGTCAAAAAAAGTGTCAAAGAGAAAAGAATGAAGGCTATCGCGGCTATGACAGATGGTCGAAAAAAATGCCGATAATGCAGATTCCCTTCGACACTATAACAAGACGTTGCAACATCTTCACGGATCTTTAAGTACACACTTTTAATTCGTCATAACTAAAGAACGGTAAAGCTTCGGATGCTGCTTGTATAATACGATGTTTAAAACATACTATTTTACATTATATTTCAATTTCAGCAAAGTCTTAAATTTTTTTTAGTCGTAATCAGTAAAACACTCTTTCTCTCATAAGAGTGCGTGTTAAATGGGTAATGTATTTCTCGAGAACGGTGAAGCTAGGATGTCTGAAAATTTAATATGTTATTCTACGCATAATTGTTAGTTTATACAAATTTTTCCAAGGCGTTCCTAAATTTTTGAATTTTGTGACACTACCCCCTTAAAAAGAAAACCGTAAAAATTTAGCGCCATTCTTCAATGTAAAAAAGCATCGTGTGGCAATTGCTGGAACTAAAACCTCTCCCAAGCGTCCTACGACGAATTACATTTGGATGATTTGTTACACATATGTGTATGTATATATATTGAATTATTGTATTACATGATGTGTGTATATGAGTGTCTGTGTGTGTACACGTGTGTGTATGTGGGTATGGTATAGCACCATCACGAGCTTTGGTAGCTCGGTAGTGTTGCAAAAAAATAAACAAATCCCTAAAGTAACGACACTTAAATTACCGAAAGCAAGTTTATGTACATATGTATATAAATATACAAATACACAAGCTACACAACGTTACGTTCGAAAATTGAATAATTTATTTTGCAATATGTAAATATTTCCTCACCTCAAGACTTGTAAGGAATGCTTATACAACTGCTCTCTCGTTCTTCAAACCTTTAAAAAGTTAAAAATCGTGCGGTCAGATAGTAAACCTCTGAGCCGCAAAATTTCTTTAAAAATTTAACATACTTTTTTATTTTATTTTTTCTTCATGTTTAGAATCGATTACAAAGATGTATTATGGATTGCAATGACAAGGTCAAAGACAAAATGGGACTTGATCCATCACAAGGTGAAATTAATAACTTTACTAAAGAGTTTGAAAATTGTACAAAAAATTGCGTCGATGATTATTGCGATCTTCTCCCGTCATTGAAGAAAACAATAAAAAAAGTATTTGCCAATAATAAATTTAACTATCAATAATATTGATTGTTTTAATTTTAGAAACCACTATTAGAATTTTTAATCCATAACAGATTTTCCTCTACTTAAAGCAATTTTAATCTCATTGAGTATAGAAGACAAAAGCAGTAGTTTTCTGACATACTAGGTTGTAGAAAAGCTGTATTACAAGCACGAAACAATGGACTCAGCAAATTAAATTTTATTTACTGTAATTAATCACTTTATGCATACTAACACAGTTTAATATATTGATATTCAGTTTATTTAAAAAGAAAAAAAATTAATCGCTGTGATAACAGATGAGAAAAAGTATCTTCATGTATACGCAAGACCCCAGAAGTCTGATTGCATGCTTTAAAATACGCAATAAGATTTTACATTGATAGCCATTTGTATACTAAAATTTAACGAAGGCTGCGTTCACAGTGAGAAAATTTTCTAGCAGCCAAAAATACTGGTACCCTTACTTAAAGTTATTTTTATTGGCATAAAACATATGTTACACAGCCAGAATACAGAGTGAGTAAAATACATAACATACGTGGAGTAACATACTTCGAATTTACAGTTCAGTTTTATGGGTTTGCAGTGCGGGTATCTTAAATCGTATTTGAAAAGGAGCTTTGTTTATATACTAATTGTTTGGTGGTGATTTTTATAAACTGTCAATCAAATTCTGTACTCAGATAATTTTAAGAACTGTATTATTTTAGACTATTGTATGTTTTAAATGTAGATGTCTATGTTCATAATAAAGTCTGAGATAATGTGTACTCTTATAATATTTAGGTTGGAGAGTAGTGATGCTATGGAGAAGGGGCCAGGACCCCGGGTTTCATGTAGTCTGCGAAGCATTATTTTCCTTTCGTCTTCGAAGAGTTCGCATTGCCAAAAGATGTGTTCCGGAGTGTCCTGATCCCTTCCACATTTACATTTATCACTGTCAACTATTTTGTATTTATACAATTGGTGATTTAGTAAAGTGTGGTTGCTCCTTAGTCTTTTTATTGTGCAGTTTATTGCTCTTCTAGGAATATTGAATTTATTGAACCACGGATTTTTTGATTTAGTGAAGTAGTTACAAAAATATTACACTCCTTTTTCTGTGCTTTGGTCTAAGATTTGTTTTTTATTGTTATTATCACAGACTATTTTGTATTTAGATACTAAGTCGGAGTACGGAATGTCGACCACCACCAGGGCACCACTCGTGGCAGCCGTTTTTGCCATCGTATCGGCATTCTCATTTCCAGCTATTCCCACGTGCGATGGGATCCAAAAGAGCTTGACTTGGATATTCTTTTCTGTTAGTATAAATAGTATGCCTTTTAGACGGAACAGCAAGGGGGACTCCCAGTCGAGACCGCGTAAGAAGCTCAGGGCTTCCAGGGCACTCCTGGAGTCCGAGAAGACTCTAAACCCTCTATCCTCGAAAGGATTAAGATTTGACCACTCGAGGATTCTTTCAAAAGCACTCATAATCGCCAGACACTCAGCCGTGTAAATAGAAGCCATATTCGAAATTTTTTTTGCTATCCTAAAGAATTCTAGTTGGCTCCAGACCGCAAAACCGACGGCCCACCCGTTGTCGTCGAGCGATCTAGACCCATCAGTATATATGTCAATGAACTGAGTTTCACAATTTTGAAAGGTGTTTTTAAAATGGATCACTGGGCTTGGAGAAGCTCCGATTTTTTTGCCATGATTTAGGTCGATATCGAAATTTGTAAAGTTGGTCCAGTATGAAGTTAAGAATTTTTGGTATTTGTTGAGTTGTATGATAAGGCCGTTTTCTGGCTAGGATTTCCCGTAGCAAGTGATTAAGAGAGACTTTTCAAAGTTGTGTTTGTACAATGGGTGCTCTGCGATTTCGTGCGTTGATTCTATGCTGTTTATTGTGATGTTGTTCCTATAGGACAATTGTTTCAAGATGTATTTATAGTACAAAAATTCGATTCTATGTGTAAGATATGGAACTTTTAATTCGGCTGTGAGTACGTTTATGGGGGTACTACTTTGGTAGCCGAGGGCCAGCCTCACGGCTGTATTCTGAATTTTTTGCAAAGAGTTCTTATGAGTGACCTTGATTGGTGAAATTGAAAAACTAGCATACTCCAGTTTAGACCGAATCATAGATTTATATAGCATCAGGAGTATCTCGGGGTCCGATCCCCAGTGCACGCCTCTAAGACATTTCAGAATACTGATCGGGAGTATGCAACTTTCCTTTAGATATTTTATATGAGCTCCCTAATTCAACTGTTTATCAAAATGCACCCCCAAAAATTTAACCTCCTTAGATGGGTATATTTCGTAGTTGTTTATTTTTACCGAGTATTCATGTAGTTTTTTTATATTTTTCGCGCTGAAAATCATAAGTTTGCATTTACCTGGTTCGAGGATTAAGTTTTTGTAGTTTAATGCTTCGTGTAGTTCATTTATTTTCAATTGCAAGAGTGAGACTAATTGTTTAGCGTCATTACTTGAAGCGCATATTACAAAGTCATCTGCGAATTTGAGCAGCTTAAAAGGACCGTTTATGAGTTGGTCTAAAAAGTTAGTATATATTGTAAAGAGAAAGGGACTTGAGATGCAGCCCTGGGGAAGGCCTATGGTGACATTCTGAGAGGAGTTGTTGTTTGGAAGATTTATAGGGACTAGCTGTCTATTGTAAGTTAGCATTTTGAAAAATTTTAGATATTCTGGTGGTAAATTGAGGTCTGCCAGATCTCCCAGGAGCAGATCTGGAATCACGCTGCCGAACGCTCCCTTTATGTCAAGGAAAAGAGCCACAAGCTTCTCTCCCTTGAAAAAGCTTTGGTGTATGTCGTTTGTCAATATAGTGAGGTTGTCTATGCATGATTTTCCCTTGCAGCAACCAAACTGGATCTTTGATAGAAGGTCATTGTATTCCAGGTACCATGTTAAACGGTAGTTTACAAGTTTTTCAAAGATTTTGAGGAGGCTGGAAGCCAGAGCTATTGGTCGTGCTTTGTTATTTTTCTTTGGAATAAACATTATTAAACACTCCCTCCACTCTTTTGGGTAAATCCCTAGGTGGATGAAGTCGTTAAATACGTCCAATATGACTCTTTTAAGAAATTCTGGTAAACCCTTTATGATACCGTATGTAATCTTGTCAGCCCCGGGTGCTGAGTCCGGTTTGGTTGACTCGATTGCCGAGGTTAATTCCTCAAACCTAAAAGGTTCTCTCAAGAGTGAAGACTCGTTGGTTTGTACATGGTCATAGTCCCCGATTTCAAAAGCCTCGTGTGAGAGTTTCTTACTCTGGCACAGGCTTAAGAAGCAATTATTTGCATTTGTAAGAAAGGATTTATTGCCTTCTGAAAAATTTGGCCTATTTAAGCTATTTTTAAAGATTTTAATCTTTTTCCATACGGCCGAAATTGGCGTGGTTTTGTTAATTGATTCACAGAAGCCTCTAAAAGAAGATTTTTTGGTTTCCTTCATAGTCCTCCTGGTCTCTGCAAGTATCCTCTTATAATTGATAAACGAGTTCAAGTCACATCTGTATTTCAAAGACTTGTATGTCGCTCTGCGCACTCTCAAGGCTTCCTCGCAGTCCCCGTTCCACCAGAGGTTGTGTGGTGTTTTTGGTTTACTATTTTCCTTGGTCTTATTGGGCTGATGGTTGTTGAGGTTTGACCGTTTATGTTTGTTGGAAGATGCTACGGTGGTTTGATTGATGAAATTAGTTAAAAATTGGTATCTTGAAATAGCATATAGGTTTGTAAAGTTCAAGTTCGTAAAAATAGAATTTGAATCGTTTAGTTTGTCGATGAATTCTTGCTAGTTTAATTTGCTTAGATTATGTTTGTATTTTAATTTGTATGTGTGCACGGGTGATGCATTAATAATGATCTCAACTGGGAAGTGGTTACTTCCCCAGGGGTCGTCTAAAAGACTGATCAATTAGTAGACAGCGCGAGATTCATTGATATAAAAGAAAGGTCTATGCACGAGTATTTTAAAGTATTTCCGTGGAAGTAAAAGTGGGTGTGATCTGAGTTATTCAGGATAAAGAGCTCCTCAAAGTCCAGTTTGTCGACGAGTGTCCAGCCATTAGCGCATGTTTTTTCACTTCCCCAAAGGGGGTGGTGTGAATTAAAGTCGCCGAGGATCAGAGCCCCCCCGTGTCCAGTGGCCACAGCGGAGAGACCCGATATCTCTTCGGGGGATAAGTTTTTACCTGGGGTTGGTGGCCTGTAACTGGAGCACCTCTCCAAGGGTCGTGTCGACCAGGACAGATTCGATATCCAAGCTGCTGGTGTTAATGTTTGAATTAATGCGGCTGAAAATAAGGGTGTCCCTGACGAAGATCGCCACTCCACCCCCAGTGTTGTCCTCTCTGTCGTTCCTAGCGACATTAAAATTTTTTAAGTTAAAATTTTCTTTTTGAGTAAGCCATGTTTCAACGATTACAATAATGTCATAGTTTTCTGCATATTTGTGAAGGTCTAGCTTATTTCTAATGCTTCTAGCGTTCCATTGGCAAATTTTTAAATAATTATCCATTTTTAGTAAAATAAGTAAATACTAACTTAGGTATTTCAAAGTAAAAGTAAATGTACGAGAATATATTCTATTTAGTGTATCCGTTACAAATAAGCAATCAGATTTTGTATTCTTATCGAACCTATTTGTTGCCTTTCTTGTTTTTATTTTTAGTTACCCATTTTTCTAGTCTTTCTTCTTCAGTTTTTTTAATTATTTTTCCTATTAGTTCGGCAGCGGTGGTTGTTCCAGGCAGCTTGTTGGGGTGTTGAAGTGGTCCCGGTTGTTCCTGATGGTGGTGCTGGAAACTTGCAGATGTTTTGTTTGCCTGTGGTGTGGCATGCGGTCGGGGGTCTCCTTGGCGTTTGTCAGCGGCGGTTGGATCGGTGTACGCCTCACTTTCCACATCTCCGTAGAATTTGATATTTCTCTCTTTGTGCTCAGTTGTTTTTGTGTGACCTTTTCCCTTTTTGTGCTCGGAAACTAGCGTCTTGTATTCTTCGGCTATTTGGCTGTAGAGTTTTACATTTTTGTTTTCTTTTAGAGCCAGGAAGTTCTCCTTTGAATTGATAGGTGGGTGGGCAGGCTTTGGCATGATAATATTCTTTGCCTCTACAAAGGATAGATTGTGGTATGCCATGATTGTGTTTATCCTCAAGTACTTTTCGTAGATTTCGAAAGTTTTATCTGTGCTTCTGTGATTTCCCACGCAATTTATACATTTCAAAGATTTCTTATCGCAACAATTTTCTTGTTCCACCTCGCCGCATACATTGCAGATTTTTCTTGCTTTGCAGGTTTTTGTTGTGTGGCCGTACCTTAGGCAATTGTAACACTGCATAGGCCTGGATACGTATGGAGTTATAAACGTTTTAACGTTAAAAATATAGACTTCTATGGGTAAAGTTTGGCCATCAAAAGTTATGATAATCGAGCGGCTGGGAATCCATTTATCTTCTTCTGATGTAGGATTGCGGTTCCTTCTATTGAATCTAGAGACAGAAGAGATTTTTATTTCCGACTTGCACGCTTCTAGAATCTGTTGGACGGTCAGATGGGTTGGTATATTTCTGGCGATAGCCTTTCTTTGTTTACGAAATCCCGGTATAAAGGTCTCAAGGTTGTGTTGTTGGATTTCTCTGTCGAGTAGCAGTTTGTTTGCTTCCATTAGGTTTTTAAATATCACTTCGATCTTGAACTTGTCTTTTCTTTTGATGACGTCAATCGACTTATACTTTAGGAATAAGATACTGCCTACCTTATACGGGCTTAACTCCGAATCGTACCCTTGAACGCCTATGGGGAAACGAGCCTATGGCTCTTAGTGTGCTCGGGTAAAGAAGGTTAACTCCAGCAGGTAACTGTTATGTATATATTTTATTACATGTGAGACGTGTTTGGTACAACAGCCCAGGACTTACTACCGCCGTACGGAGGGCGGGGTAGGCTCATGGGTGAGCGCGCATATAGACGTTGGTCGCCACGCAGGGCGAGCGCGCATGTAGATATATATATGCCGACTGTGTCGGAGCGAGGGACGGAAGGTCCCCACACGCCAAATGACCCTAGCGCCATCTNATATATATGCCGACTGTGTCGGAGTGAGAGACGGAAGGTCCCCACATACACTCCCCCACCAGTGCGAAAAAAATGTATTGCGCGATCGAGCAATACGTTATTTCGTACGATAAAAATACGAAGAAAAAACAAAGATGTCCGGTTGGTTGAGTGTAGCTGTCGGTTCATGATTTTGCATGTAAAATAGAGCCTACGCGATGGCTGTGTCATTTATGTATAAAAACCTGTAAACAAATAAGTACGCGTTTACAGTCATTTCGTTTTTTAAAAAATGTCAACGAGATAAATATCATAAAACGTGGTAAAAATAAATGTGACTAAGGCGCAATTTGTGTAACTATAACGAAGCACTAGCGGACGGCACGAACATATACACTAATATCACATCACTTATTGACTAGCTGAGTTTTGAACACTACCGTTTTCTTCTTAGGTCGTCGAAGGATTGCGGGCACCAACTTCGTGGGCTTCAGCACGCCTCGTAGCGCGGGCGCTTGAGTTGTCGGTTGTTGGGGTTTCGCAGCTGCTGTGGGTGCTCTTGAAGGAGCATTCCGTAGACACGCAGCGTATGTTGGTTGTGCCGAGGTCGCTGGGACCACACGTAGGGGCCGTGCGTCCGTGCGTGAGCTGGGTCCGGCCAGAGCGGGCGGGCTCGTGGGCAAGGAGAGCGCGGTTGTTGTTGGCCGAGCTGGGGCCGCCAGGAAGGCGCGTGGGGGTCGCGCGGTTGTTCGTGAGTACGTCCTGAGCTGCGCCGGTGTACCCGCGAGCTTGGGTGGTGCAGCTACCACTGGCTGAGCCGGAGACGCTCGAACGACACGTGGGGGTCATGCGCTGGCACATGCGTTCGGCACGCGCGAAATTGACGGCGTTGATGGCGCGGCGCTTGCAGGTGTTCGGCAAGGTGGTGCTGTGGCAGCCGGTTGTTTTATGTCCGGTGTGATCTCGGTGATTGACGGTGTTAGAGTTACCGAAGGGTCCAAGGGCGTCGAGGCGCCAGCACTTTGCTGCTGGGGCGTTGCTGAAGTTGTCGCTTTTACGGAATCCTCTGGTAGTGGTAGTTCCTCCCGTAGCAAGTGGGCTGGCTTTAGGTTCTGCACGTTGATTGTAACGACTTTGGCGTTCACTTTTACCTTGAATACCCGGTCGTCGATTCGTTCAATAACCTCGTGCGGGCCACTGTAAGCTTGGTCGAGCAAGTTCTTTTTTGCGTTGCACTTCACGTAGACGGGCGATGAAGTGTAGAGCGTCTTGTAGACAAATGAGCTTTGTTTACAGTGGTGCGATGCTGGTGATGGCTTTGTTTTTCTCATATGAGCTCTGAACGGCTCCAGGAAGAAGTTTCTGTCGATTGGTGGAATCCTCCTCGGTAAAAAATTCGCCTGGTAGGCGTAAAGTCGTGCCATAGAGGTACTCGGCAGGGGATGCCTTTAGGTCGTGTTTGTAAACTGATCGAAGACCTAGCAGTACCGTAGGGAGCTTGTCCAGCCAGTCCTGTGCTTCGTGGCAACGCAAGGCCATCTTTAGAGAACGGTGCCACCTTTCGACGAGGCCGTTGGCGGTCGGGTGATATGCCGTAGTTCGGATGCGCTGGACCCCCAGCAACCGTGTGAGCGCAGCGAAGAGCTCGAACTCGAACTGGCTTCCGCGATCGGTTGTCACCCGCTTCGGACAGCCGTAGCGAGCGATCCAGTGCCGGTAAAAGTTCAGCGCCACGTTGGTGGCTGTAATGTTGGTCAGCGGGATGGCCTCCGGCCAGGGTGAGAAACGGTACACCATGGTCAGCAGGTATGAGAAGCCCTGGCATACCGGTAGTGGGCCCACGAGGTCGATGTGGACGTGATCGAATCGCTGATCAGGGTACAGGAAAACCTTGGGCTGCAGATGAATAAAAAAAAACGTGCCTGCTTACTTTCGAGCGTTGGCATTGTTCACACGCTTGGACCCAGCGGGTGATGTCCTTTGACATCGACGGCCAAACGTAGCGCTGGCATACCATTTTGACTGAAGCTCGGCCGGATGGGTGTGAGAGATTGTGAATCACCTCGTAAACGGGCCTTCTGAATTTAGGCGGAACGTACGGGCGAATGTCATGTTGCGAGACGTCGCAGTAGATGTCTCTCTCACAGGAACCGAGGGTGAGTTTGCGAAGCCTTATTGCTGTTCATGAGCTAACGAGCACGTGTTTGAGCTCCTGGTCCGTCTCCTGCTCTACCACTAGTTGCTTAAAGTCGATGATGGTAGGGATACGCAAGGCGTCGACGCGTGAGAGCATGTCTGCTACGACGTTCTCCGTGCCACCGACGTGCTCGATATTGGTCGAGAATTGCGCGATGTAGTTGAGTTGGCGTAGTTGTCACGGCGCTGCGTTCTCCGTGTTCTGGTTGAAAGCGTGGGTGAGCGGTTTGTGGTCCGTGCGCAAGGTCAGCGGATATCCCTCCACTATTCCCCGGAAATGCTTGACTGCTGTGAAAAGAGTCGTTAGTTCACGGTCGTATGCCGAGTAGCGTTGCTCGGTAGCGGATAATGGCTTCGAGAAGAAACCCAGAGGTTGCCAGCTCTCGTCGAGCTGCTCCAGTACGGCTCCCATTTTGGTGTCGGAGGCATCTGTGGAGATACGAAGCTGCGCGTAAGGGCGGGGGTGGGCCAGCATGGCTGCGTTTACCAGGCACGATCTGCACGCCTGAAACGCCGCGGAAGAGGCCTCGTCCCATTGCACTGGCCGCATGTCCTTCTTTTTAGCGCCCTTGAGGAGCGCATGCAGCGGGCCGAGGTGGACTGCGGCGTCCTTGAGGCAGCGCCGGTAGGCGTTGACCATGCCGATGAAACGCCGCAGGCTGAAGAGCGTTGTGGGCAGGGCGAACTCCAGTACGGCTTGCACTTTATCGGGTAGGGGTCTTGAACCCTGGGCAGAAACCTCATATCCCAGGAATTTGACCTTTTCCACGGCGACGACGCACTTCTCCAAGTTCACGCACAGGCCGTGCTCCTTGAGACGTTAGAAAACCTTCTGCAGATCTTCCATGTGCTGGTCGAAATCCACAGATGCGATGAGGATATCGTCGATGTAAGGGAATGCGTTCAGCCCACGTAGGACGTTGTTAATTTTACGCTGGAACGTTTGGGCGGCGTTCTTGAATCCAAACATCATCACCGTGAATTCGAACAGCCCGAAGGGCGTTATGAAGGCTGTTTTGGGTACATCCTCTTCGGCTATTGGAATTTGGTTGAAAGCCTTCAGCAGATCGATCTTGGAGAAGATGGTTTTTTCGTGAAGGTTGGCCGGGTAATCCTCAAGCCGTGAGATCGGATGCTTGTCCGGTACGGTCCGTGCGTTTAGGCGTCGCTAGTCAGCACATGGGCGAAGGGAACCGTCCTTCTTCAGCCGCAGGAGCAGCGGACTGGCCCAAGGGCTTGAGCTGGGGCGACATACGCCCTGGGCGATCAGCTCGTCGAAGATGCGCCGAGCCTCCTTCAGTCGGTCGGGCGCGAGCCGTCTGGCTGGCTGTGCAACTGGAGGGCCCGTGGTGATGATGTGGTGGTATGTGGTTGAGCCCTGGGACGGCTGCGGGGGTGCCTTTCCCGTGATATACGGAAATGAGTCCAGCAGCCTGGTCACGGTGTTTGGAAGCACGATGCTGAACAGCGGCGCGGCGCCCGTACGTGTCTCGCAGCGGTCCCCCGTGACGTTGTGCGTGAGTGACGAAGACGACGGGTCGATAGAAATGGCGTGCTGCCTTAGAAAGTCGAAGCCGAGGATGCCGTAGGGGACGTCCGCCACCACGAACCGCTACGTGAAAAGGCTCCGCATTCCGATATTAATGGTGAGCTGCTTCAAGCCATTTGTTGCTATGGGGGTTGCGTTGGCCGCATGAAGTTTCAGCGTGGCGGGCTCCTCGCTGCTCCCTGGAGTGCACGGGATAAGCGATACTTTCGCGCCCGTATCGAGCAGTAAAGGCAAGTTGCTTTTGTTGTTATGCATGAAAAGACGACGATATAGAGCGTTAACAGCATTGCCTGAGGTCGTCGCGTCCTCAGGCAATGAGCTCAGTTTTTTTTCCCAGGAGCACGGCGCCATGCAGTGGCGGGCCTTCTCGGCGAACTCCTGGTGATACCAGCACAGGTCGCCGGTCGGAGAGGAATCGGGCCCATCGTTATTAGGCTTGTCCCGGCGACGTCGGGCGGGGCCGCGGTTGCGGGATCTGCCGCGTGGCTGTCGCTGCGACAGCTTCCTCACACAAGCGGCCAGCTCCTCGAGCTTCTTCTTGAGGTCATCGAGCGTGTCGTCGCTTGGCACCGCCAAAGACAGCGCGAAAATCTGCCCCTGGCGGGTGGACTGTATCCCCCAGATACGATCGGCGAGTGCCACAAATTTGCCGTCGGTCTGATCCTCAGACGCAGCCAGGGCGACCCGGATATCCATTGGCAGCCGGTCGAGCCAAACTTGGCGGAGGAAAGCCGGACTGACGAGGTTGCTTGCCAGCCGCTGTATCTGGGCAAGTAACTGTGAAGGTGGCCCGTTGCCGTACTGCAGGCCTGAGATGAGCCTCCGGACCTTTTGTTCGCTGCTCTTTGTAAAAGCCTTAAGCAAAGAGTCCTTGACGCTTCCATACAGACATTCCTGTGCGGCTGTGCTGATGATGTTTTCGATCTCCACGGTGATGAGGTCCTCTGACAGGTATTTCATTAGGTGCTCGAAGCGCACAAACTCGTCACAGATTCCCGCGCGAACAAACTTTGCCTCCAGCGTCGCGAACCAGAGCTTGGACCAGGCTTCGTGGTCCAGAAAGGCTGCTGGTGCAGATCGGCGAGAGCAGTGTTGCGTGCGGCTGTCGTGTGTTGTGTTGAGCTCATTGGAAAGCCTGTTGGCACAAACTGCTACCGGTCCCACTGCGTCGCCGGATTGTTGTGATTGCCGCCGGAAGTTGCGCCGAACGAAAGCGCGGCCACCGAATTCGGGCCTCTCGAACTTTCGTTGGCAGGGAGGATGCCGCTTTGCGCGCCAAAATTTTCGCGGTGCGAAGACGCTCCAAACATGGCGTCCTCGTCCCTGGGCGTTTTAAAAAATGTTGAGTGCCCGAGGGAGGCCCCGGGGTTCGTGAACGACTGCCCTTGTTTGCCAAAGGTGCCTGGATTGTTGGAGAGGGCATCTAAACTGCGTTGTAGCTGTTGCTGCTGCTCCCACTGTCGCTGCAGCTGTTGTTGCTGTTGCTGCTGCTGTAGTGGCTGCTGCTGCTGTAGCTGTTGTTGTTGGTTGCCGAGCGTGCTTGCAGCGTTAGCGGGTAAAACCACTGCATTGTCGAGCGAGGTCGAGGCATTGAAGCCTATGGGGGCGACCTCGTTGCTGCATGCGTCTGTTGGAGCGTTGCTGCTGGAGTCCTTGGGCGGGATGCGCTGTAAGCCGGTCATGGTGTCGACTCGACTTGTTGCCAAGTGTGCACGTTGAAATATCGACGTTGCAAACGCGAACGGCCACTGCACTCACAATCGCGATAACGCGTGAAACGAGTTTTTACTCGCAAAGACGGGGTCACCGGTTATGGGGAAACGAGCCTATGGCTCTTAGTGTGCTCGGGTAAAGAAGGTTAACTCCAGCAGGTAACTGTTATGTATATATATTTTATTACATGTGAGACGTGTTTGGCACAACAGCCCAGGACTTACTACCGCCGTACGGAGGGCGGAGTAGGCTCATGGGTGAGCGTGCATATAGACGTTGGTCGCCACGCAGGGCGAGCGCGCATGTAGATATATATATGCCGACTGTGTCGGAGCGAGGGACGGAAGGTCCCCACACGCCAAATGACCCTAGCGCCATCTAGCATGATTTTGTGTTTCAAGAAAATCCCTAGGACTCTAGGTTAGCTGAGCATATTCAAGATTAGTGATTATTTGCAGCCTCGACTATCCTTGACTAGCATCAGATCCTATCGTGAAAGCCGTTGCATCGGTATACCTTATAGCTCTGCCTGGCGAACCACTGTTGAGTAGACAAAGCACATTGTTAAACTTTCTAGACAATTTAGGATTTTTACTAGCTCGTCATGGAATACAGCACATACGATGTCGATTACCACCTGGACTACACACATACAACCAAGCAGGGCATGCCAACGTAGCTCGTGTGAACCCCGAATATGGCATGAAAGTCTTGGTCGATGCCTTACTTAACTTGCGTACGCACTTGTAAGCGACCCAATTCCTAGTTAGCATAGTATAATCTGACGAAAGTAAACCTATGACTATGCAACCGTAGCTTCCATGAGTTTTAATCTTATAATTATGCAAATTGAATTGAATAGTTTTTTATTGGCTTTGAACGTTACATCAGGTGAGTTTTGGTGCCATCTAACGACGTGCCCCTGTGTATTATAGGCTATGTGTACAGAGACTACCTATCACGTCTTATCGTCTTCATCTATGACGAGTGATTTCAGCCCTACCTAGCAACATTTAGTATTTATGCACTTATCAGACATTCTCCAGTGGCATCTAATATATCCCATGCGTGGCCCCGCGTATCGGACGTACCTCAGCACAACCGATAGTATTCTCTAGCTATTTCGCACGTGTGCAATGTTCGAGGGAGTACCAACTGATCAATTTTTTTTTCCATGCGACTGACTTCACGTTAGACAAGTCCTAGTGCTACCTGACATGTCCGTGCGTCTTTGGCATATCACAGCATCACCTAAAATTGTCCCCACAAGTCCGTGAGCCTTATTTACTGTGCTCGAGTGCAACCTTGTTTGTCCCTCGCAGAAGGATGTAAGTGTTAGGCAGAACCTAGTGACAGTGTCTTCCACCATAAGACCTTACGTACTCTGGCACCAGCCAGGCAATTATTAGGTGTCTCTTTCACCCCCGCGAATGCATCCGATAAATACTAGTGTACAAAAACGGTTATGAGGGTAAGCGAGCGTAGATAAACACGTCCGAGGAATACTTGTGTACACAAGCGTGTCCGAGGAATACTAGGGTATGCAAGTGCATGCGAACACATACAAGGAATACTAGCTTACACGAGCACATCCGAGGAAATCTATATTTTATACGACCACGTCTCAGAAATACGAACTTATACGAGTGCATCCAAGGAATACTAGCTTATACGAGTACTTCTCAGAAATACTAGCATATACGAGCACATCTGAGGAATACTAGAATATGCGAGCGTACGCTAACGCATCCAAAAAATACTAGCGTACACAAGCTTCTTTATACAATTTTTTCATAATTTTTGTGAAGGTGGCCCGTTGCCGTACTGCAGGCCTGAGATGAGCCTCCGGACCTTTTGTTCGCTGCTCTTTGTAAAAGCCTTAAGCAAAGAGTCCTTGACGCTTCCATACAGACATTCCTGTGCGGCTGTGCTGATGATGTTTTCGATCTCCACGGTGATGAGGTCCTCTGACAGGTATTTCATTAGGTGCTCGAAGCGCACGAACTTGTCACGGATTCCCGCGCGAACAAACTTTGCCTCCAGCGTTGCGAACCAGAGCTCCGGCTTCGTGGTCCTGAAAGGCGGCTGGTGTAGATCGGCGAGAGCAGTGTTGTGTGCGGCTGTCGTGTGTTGTGTTGAGCCCATTGGAAAGCCTGTTGGCACAAACTGCCCCCGGTCCCACTGCGTCGCCGGATTGTTGTAATTGCCTCCGGAAGTTGTGCCGAACGAAAGCGCGGCCGCCGAATTCGGGCCTCTCGAACTTTCGTTGGCGGGGAGGAGGCCGCTTATCGCGCCAAAATTTGCGTGGTGCGAGGACGCTCCAAACATGGCGTCCTCATCTCTGGGCGTTTTGAGAAATGTCGAGTGCCCAAGGGAGGCCCCGGGGTTCGTGAACGACTGACCTTGTTTGCCAAAGGTGCCTGGGTTGTTGGAGAGGGCATCTAAACTGCGTTGTAGCTGTTGCTGCTGCTCCCACTGACGCTGCAGCTGTTGTTGCTGCTTCAACTGTCGCTGCAGCTGTTGTTGCTGTTGCTGCTGCTGTAGTGACTGCTGATGCTGTAGCTGTTATTGTTGGTTGCTGAGCGTGCTTGCAGCGTTAGCGGATAAAACCACTGCATTGTCGAGCGAGGTCAAGGCATTGAAGCCTATGGGGGCGACCTCGTTGCTGCATGCGTCTGTTGGAGCGTTGCTGCTGGAGTCCTTGGGCGGGGTGTGCTGTAAGCCAGTCATGGTGTCGACTCGACTTGTTGCCACGTGTGTACGTTGAAATATCGACGTCGCAAACGCGAACGGCCACTGCACTCACAATCGCGATAACGCGTGAAACGAGTATTTACTCGCAAAGACGGGGTCACCAATTATGGGGTAACGAGCCTATGGCTCTTAGTGTGCTCGGGTAAAGAAGGTTAACTGCTGCAGGTAACTGTTATGTATATACTTTATTACATGTGAGACGCGTTAGGTACAACAGCCCAGGACTTACTACCGCCGTACGGAGGGCAGGGTAGGCTCATGGGTAAGCGCGCACATAGACGCTAGTCGCCACGTAGGGCGAGCGCGCATGTAGATATAGATATATATATATATATGCCGACTGTGTCGGAGCAAGGGACGGAAGGTCCCCACAGCACTACATAACCTTGGTTTGATAAATTATAATATAAAAGTGACAAATTAATGGTACGTGTCTAGCTAAATGTCTGACTTAAAGTCTGGTCGAGTGTTTGACCTAATGTCTGGCAAATAAGGTATTTTCCCTTTGACTTTCAGGCCAAATATAGCTAATATTAGGCGTAACCTAATTGAGCTGCTTTATGCAACAATTAATATGCTTACACAATATCTCTTACAACAGTTAAAAAAATAAAATTGAATTATTTACAACGTATATGAATTAGAATAGTTTCATGGGTTTCAGGATTCAACATAAATTTTCATGATATGATTTTTTATTACATCACTTTAAATTAGACACTAACGAACCTTAACAATGTCCTTATAATTTCTTATATTAACATGTTTTTATTATTTTTTAAAAGAAAAGTTGCTCTCGTGTCTGGGAATAAGTAATTCTTGCCACAAGGAGAGGTTCAGGATTACGTAGGATCTACAAGTAGTTGGTTTTGGAAACCCAACGAGGAAGTGATAGTGGAGTCGAGATCTAAGCTGTATCTGTAAGCAATAGTGCAAATAAAATAAATATTTTATGAAATGAAGAATCTATCCATTATCAGTAAACTATTGATCCAATTATGATAACTTACAAAATAGACTTTACCTGTAATAATAAGATGTTCTATTATAGGGTCAGCTTATCTATGTATATAAGCACATTTGTAACAACTTATAATAATGAACCTGGTTGAGAAATTTTGGCTAGCATTCGTAATGAATAATAATGAAACCACTTTTTTTATCGGTTCACTATACGATAAGAGCTTGCTTCTGTTAGAGGTTATTGATTTTTCATATAAGACAATAATGCAAATGAGCTTTTCTCTTATTGATTGAGCTGGAATAATTTTGTATTGTGCTTATTGATAGTCAAGAATGGTAGATCCACTTGACATAACTCTTTCCGATCATGTCTCTACACATTTAACGAGCTACATCCATTGAATGTATTGCGTCGTCTGTCAAACGAAACTTTGCAGAATAAGCGACTTAAATAATTATTTACGTAAAAACTGTCCATTTTTGGTACTAGTGCCTGTGGAAACTTTTGTTTAGATTATCATAAT